TTTCCTAAGAGAAATTAAAAAGAATGAAGCATGGCCTCTCCTCATATGGGGAATAAACTGTATTTCCACTGAACTGAATTCTCCATAAGGGCAAGGGAAGACTATGTGGAGTATAAAATAAAATAAATTAAAAAACCAAAACAAAACAAAAAAGCCCAAAACAAAACCAGGAACAGAGTCGCGGCATTCAGCGATTTCCAAACTTAAGCAGCGGAAGCGAACATGATCACCTCGGCAGGCCTTTTGCAAGACATCCCACATATGCCCGGTCAGGCAACTGTAGTTTTTCCTGGAGCAAGCAGCAGCGAGTTCCTGGGGCTGTGTTAATTCCTGTGCTCAGAGTTAAGGTTTCCTGATACTTGACTTTTCAGAGCTTCTTTCGACTGCTCAGACTGTGCCATATTGAACCACCCGGCCTGAAGTTCACCTCAGGCTGGCTGGTTTTAGAAAAGAAAACCCGCATCAGAGTTCAGCATCTCCCCTCCCCAGTGACAGCTAATAAAAGTCTTCCAACACATTAAAAGCTTCTCCTTCGTTTCTCCTTTACTTCTCCAACAGCCTTTGACACCTCACTGTCCTCCTCTTCCTCCCCATTATTTTTCCCCTCTTAATAACCACAAACATTCCCCAAACAGGGAGACCTCTTCATGCAAAGAGCAAAAGCACACTGGACCAACGCATCAGTACCTCACCAGGCTCTTTGGCGTGGAGCTTTTAGCTATATAGTGCATCAAAAACCCAAACAGCACTAACCTTTTTGGAAAGGGGCATAATGCTGCTAGGTCGAACAAGCCGTCGCTTCTTACAGCTCAGTACTGGGCGAGTGCGAGCTGCTACACACGTTCCATCCGAAGATGAAGAAACCATGTTTAGTCGTTGCTTTTTATGCAAGAGCTCCTCAGCTTCCTGGCCATCTCCCTGAGCATGTTCTGCCAGGCCAGGCTGAAGACTGCCCAAGAAGAGAAGAGAATAAGACATACTGTTATTCATTCAGCCATCCCATGTTACCCAGCAGTACCAGCCAGGTTTACAATTCAGACCTTAGCAAACACTCTAAGCTGAGTTTAAAACATTGCAGTTTCACGAGGCAATAGCTTTTATTAAGGCAACTCTAATTTTTGCTTTTACTTCGGTCACGTTCCACACTCTCCCAACCACTGAACCTTTGACAAAACACCTTTGGAAGTTCTGAACACAAAATAGCATGTAAAGCCGGACACAGAGCAAGACCAAAAGCCACTCTAGCCCTGAACAGCTTTAATCCTAGAATTCAGCTTCCTTCAAAATTACAGTTCAGGATATCTTAATACAACAGGTTCTCACGAGTCTAAATGCCAGAGAGCACAAGACAGAGAACATATAATTTTCTAGGAAAAATATTTAACCTCGATGTAAACTTGATTCTGATTAATAGTTGAGAACTATACCTCTAACAACTCTCAGCAGTGACACCAGAAAGGTGCAGTGTTAACATTAACCTTTCTGTTTTATGTACAAAGGACTTTCCTGTCCACATGCAGTAACCCTGCCCTACCGTGGCATCAACACACCATGCCACCTACCAAATACCAGCGCAACTCCTCATCTATGGAACCTTTTCATGTATATTTTACAGGTGTTTCATTTCTAAAAATGCAAAACATTAAAGCCCTGTGGTCTAAGGCTCTGTAGTTCAAAGGCTACAGGCATATAAAGGGCTCTGTTATAGCCCACAGTGTTTCACCTGTAGCAATGAGTGAGTTGATCAATGCTTTCGATGCTTGCAGCATCCCTGCCGAAGGTACTAAGCAAGTGCAACGGTGCTGGCAACACTTCTCTACCACTACCAGAACTTTGAAGCATCATGTGTTCAAGGGTTTTCAAGTGGTTCAACCCTGAAATCATCCTGTAGCACAGGATAATTTCTTTCACTTATTTTCATTTACCCACTTAAAGACTCACTCAACAAAAACAGCCTGGAGAAACAAAGAATTTGGAAAATCTTACTCCCCAAATCAATGGGATTTGGGTTCCTCAGTATCTCCAGAAACATGGGCCAGTGGTTACAGACACTTCTGCAAAAGAACTGCAAGCGGGCCACTAGTACCCTCAAATCATACAATTTGCAAGTGTATTAAAAATACCCATAAAGAAACAGTTTTGAACATGCTCGTTGCATGGTTGCCTGCAGGGCCTGTTCATGTAAACACAGCTCAGTTTAATACCATTTTCAGAAAAACAATGCAGCAGAAAACCTCAAGCAAGCAATCTCCTCCAAAATCTTTCCAAGCATGACCTACTACCATATTTTTTTCAAAAAGGGACCATTTATACCGTTACCAACCCAGTTACTACCCACCAGCATGTTACAGGCTGGTTTCCAATGGGACTTTGTCAAGATCATAAAAATCAAACTCTTCCCATAATATGCAAGCAGCTTACGTGTTAATGACTCCATTGACGGGTCTTGGTGCTCCACAGGGCTTGGCGGGATGGGATTCAGGAGTATTTGCAGCAGAAATACCCGAGTTCTCTAGTGGCTGGGATCCAGAAACACTCTAAGGAAAGATGAGAAAGATCACAAATTAATTAAAAAAACTTCTTAAACAGCCACAACGTTCTTATTCCCAGTTTCTAGTTGAGGATTCTGCACTGTAGCCATGGGTTTCCACACAGGACTTCAAAAACAAGGGTTCAGAAGTGAACAGGAGACCAGAGACATAAGGACTTCTTAGGGAGCAGCTCTGACGAGAGGCTGCATACATGACAGCGCTTTCAATGCAAGAACCAAAGGACTTCAGTTCCCCGCAGACAACCACTGAGGAGCATGACAGGCCGAGGTCTTTAAGGAGATTTTAGCATTTTGTCTCAATAGTGCAAACAAGTTCATAACCACCTGTAAACCCCACAGGCGTCTTCTGAAGTTTGATGTTGTTGCTCTGAGCCACATGGCTGCAAGCTCTTGTCTAAGCACTTTGAGGGAAAACGGGAGGAGAGGGAGAGGAGAACAGACTTGCAAAACTGCATTTGCATTTAACTAAATACCTGTGCAAACACGGTCCAAATAGCACTTTAAAAAGTATTTTAAATGAGTACGCACACAAGCCGTGGTTTTTGGATATAAGCAGGCCAACTCTATAAAGCTAAAATTGCCTGATAAACACAAAGCTGGAAACACCTTTTTGGCAGAGGAAAGTAAGTAAAAACTAAGCTAAAGACACAGAGCTCCCCAATCCCTTCTGCCTTAGGTCTGAAACACAACCCCCCTCGCTCTGCAGTGAGCAACAGTTATTGCGTGGCTGCAGCACTGAACGTTGCACATCTCCCACTGCCCTGCAAGTGGCTTCAATGGGGGGGGACTGTCACCGCAGCTTCCAAGGACACACTGGCTTTGTACCAGCAGGTGCCGGCGCGGTCCAGCATGTTCATACCCCTGGCACTCATCGCCCGCAGTCTCATCCTTGCAGCCCCTTCTTTTTGTTTTCAGACATGCTCCTCCTCCTCCCCAGGGTTAAACTTCGTTTCTTCCTTCGTGCAGCACTTCCTACACTCATGCCAATGTCCCTCTACCTGGGTTTCCCCTTTCGTGCACGCAAGGGTGGTGGTGCAGTTCAAGTACTAGTAAAAAAAGACAAAAGAAAAGGTCTGACTTACCTACATAGGACGGCTGGCCAGCCAGCCAGCCCCCTGCTTGTCACATACTCTATCTTTAAAGCATCGGTATTGCATTGATTAAAATCTTCCCTGCAATCACTCCCCCAACTCAATGAACAACTAAAATCAGGCTACAGCGGTGCTGGACTAACACTTTCCAGAATAGCAGAGACCTGACTCACCAAGGGAAGAGAAATTTCTAACAACAGACAACTTCTGCCTGTTGCCTGTTTGAGGAACTTTGCTGGGTTTTCTACACTTCTGCTAAAAAACACGTTTCTCCCTCCCCCCCCCTGCCCCGGGGAGAAACTCTCTGCTCCCCGCCGAGCAGAGACAGGATCAGATGGATAGGCTCATCTCTGACACTCGGTCTGAGCACACAGACGTAGGGGCGAGATCAGATTGCGCCAGAAGCGTTAGGCAAGCGCAACGCGGCACCCTGGCGAGGTGAACTCAGTGCAGGAGCTGAACGTTTTCCCTCTGGTTTCCAGAGGCTCGGCAAGGCTGAGCCTTCACATGACACCTCCGCCGGAGGCACCCACGGTTCAGGAGGGCGGGTACACATGACTCATAAGCTCTTTTGAAATAGGGTATTTATTTTCTTCTCCAGAAAGGGTCTTAAAGGAGGAACCTCTTCTCCAAGAGCTGTCTCCGGCTCGGTGGTTCAAGATACGAATAGAGGGTGACCCCTCTGCTTCCTGTGGAGGGGCTGGAAAGCATCAATCCAAAGTCTATTTATCAGAAACAGCCCAGGCTCACCTTATCGCACTGAAGATGGGTGTACCCTAACAAGGCTCTGACATGAGCAACTGGGGAACGAGCAGGACTGCCAAGAGCTGACATCTCCAGCGTTCAGAGCAGAGGCAGAGCTCTTGCACCAGCTCCTCCTGGATGCACCTCCCAACGCCGTGCCTTCCTCCGGGGCTGGCTGGGCAGCCAGGCTGGGATCCAGAGGAGCGTTTATCACACCAGGATCACATTGATGCTCCGGACTGAGCTCTCTGTGTTTTGGGTACACCTGGGGTCTGGAAGGCCAGGTCTTTAGGATCCCTAGGACTCTTGGGGGTGTGTGTGTGTATTGGGGGGGGGGGGTCAAAGATTCAGCTTTAGCATA